TTTAGTCGGTATTGCGATCTAAAAAGGTAAAGATTATAAATATGGCATTTTGGGTATAATTCGGCTTGAATTTTTATAGAACTCATAAAATAAATTATTTTAGGTTAAAATGGCATTAAAAATGGATTTGAAATGTCAAAAAATTTTAGGGTAGTCATACAGATCAAATTAGAGATGTTTAGTGGTAAAATCATAATTTTAGAGAAAATGTATTTTTTGTCCCCCATTTCTCTCATTTTTCTCACACTTCTCACCCAATACTACTCCATACACCTTAAAACTAGAGAAATAAAGAAAGAATAAGAAAGAAGAAGTTATTAGAGCTTGGGCTTTTGCTTGCAAACCTAGGACCATTAATTGAGATTCTTGAATTCACTTGGAGATTTGAAGGGGGAGCTTGGGTAAGGGTTTTGAGGTAGGGTTCTCATTTCTCTTGCACATACATTGATACATCTCATTTATGTTTTATATCTATTTTTTTAATATGAGCTAAATACATATTTTCATGATATGAGTCTTAATTAAATGATGAGTTTACTATGAATTCATAAACTTACATGCATTAAATGAATATGGATATTGTGGGTGTTAACCCCAAACATGATTTTTGTTATGTGTGTTTGATTGAACTTAAGATTTTGGGTTCTTTAGAGTGTATGTGATTTTTTATATAATGTATTTAATATGTCTTTTACTTTATAAATGTGTATTTGGAGATTTTATGTCTATTATGTGTTTGATAAAATGCCAAAATAACTACAAGTAAAATAGATATACTAGTTATTGTCCGTACCTAAAGTCACAGAGTAATAAAAAAATTATCAATAATAAACATATTTGTATTTACACCCAAAATTAAATCTTAAACATAGAGGAGAGAAAAAAGAATTTAAGTACCAGTAGTAGTGGGGGTGAGCGATGGTAATGGTGGTGGGTGATAGTGGTGGTGGTGGAAGATGGTGATGGTTGTGGTGGGTGGCGACAATTGTGGTGGTGGTGGCAATCGTGGGTGGCAATAGTGATAGTGGTAGTGGGTTTTGGGTGACGATGGTGGTAGTGGCAACCTTGGGTGACGGTAGTGGTGGTGGGTATGGGTGGTGGTTGGCAGTGGTGGTGGTGGGGCGATGACGATGGTGTTGGTGGCGGTGGTGGTTTGTGATGGTGGGCGACGATTGGTGCTTCTAGGCTATAGTGTGATGGGTTGTGGCGAATGACGGTGGTTGTAGGTTTGGTGGGGTTAGGTGACAGTGGGTGGTGGCAATGGTGGTCAATAATGGGAGGTGATGGTTGGTGGTGGCAAGTGTGGTAGGGGTGGGTAATAGTGGCTGGTAGCAATAGTGGGTGATAACGGGTGGTGGTGAGTTGTGGTAATAGATGGTGGTGGGTGCTTACAATGAGCGATGGTGGCAGTGGGATGATGGTAGTACTGGTAATAAATATAAGAATAAGATGACAATGGTAGTGGGTGGTGACAGTGGACGACGGTGATAATAATCGATGGTTGGTGGCGATAGGGCATGGGGGTGGTGGTGGGGTAGTGTCGGTGGCGGCAGTGGTGGTGATAGTGGTGATGGTCGTCGGGGGTGAGGTGGTAGGGGTGAAGATGGTATGGGTGATGGTGGGATAGTGGCGGTGGTGGTAGGGTGGCAGCAGCAGTGGTGGTGGTAGTGGGGATGGTGGTGGTTTTTAGGCTCAACTTCGAATCTTACAACTCTGTTGACAAGTTAGTGATTTCTGTATTTATTTTTCTCTTTATACTTGGTGATAAATGAAAATTAGTTTCTTCTAATGGTATATATTTACAGAGAATTGACTTTTGAGTATTTTTTTTTGGCACCAATGTGAGTAAAGATTAGGTTTATATAGTTTCAAACATATAAATTTTATGAATTTTCAGTTCAAACTTATGGGACTTTGATTATTAAATGTGTGTTTTCTCTAAGTCTAATTATATTACTTTTGTTTGGTTAATTAAAATTAGTTCATTCACGGCTTCCAAATTAGTGTTTTAGTTTGAAATGGTATGCATCAAGTTGTTAATTAAAATGTGTAGGTAATGTGTTGGTAATGCTTTGTTGGGCATGCGTGCAGGTATGCTGAGAGATGCAATTTAAGCATTTAGGGATTCAGTTGAGCCTAAATAGTCTGCGATCAGTGTTTTTTTTCTTTTGTGTTGCACATCGACTTTAGTTACGGGTTATTACTAGATATAAGTTGCGTCTATTGTGTCCATGGTCAATTTTTTTTTAAGTTGTAAGGTGTTTTTAGATAATATAGTATTCTTCGAGTTTTAATTTAATTTTTCATTACCTCATACCTTCAAGCACCGATAATTACTAATGCTTAATATATATTAGAACAAACAAAAAACACCAAAATCAGCAAGCATGTATCCAATGAATTCAATTTCCCTAATTTACTCAATTGATCAAATAATCTGCTCTTAATTGATTGCATAATTTTTGAAATAGAAATTTATATAATCTTAATTACATAATCTTAAGTAGCACTACAAGACAATTTTAT